CATCCCCGTGTACTCCGCAGGGGCGGAGCTGACACCGTCCAGTCATCCCCGTGTACTCCGCAGGGGCGGAGCTAACACTTCCGTCATCCCCGTGTACTCGGCAGGGGCGGAGCTGACGCCGTCCCGTCATCCCCGTGTACTCCGCAGGGGCGGAGCTAACACTTCCGTCATCCCCGTGTACTCCGCAGGGGCGGAGCTGACGCCGTCTGGTCATCCCCGTGTACTCCGCAGGGGCAGAGCTGACGCCGTCCCGCCATCCCCGTGTACTCGGCAGGGGCGGAGCTGACACCGTCCAGTCATCCCTGTGTACTCCGCAGGGGCAGAGCTAACGCTGTTACGTCATCTCTGTGTACTCCGCAGGGGCGGAGCTAACGCTGTCCCGTCATCCCCGTGTACTCAGCAGGAGCGGAGCTAACGCCGTGCCGTCATCCCCGTGTACTCCGCAGGGGCGGAGCTAATGCTGCCCGTCATCCCCGTGTACTCCGCAGGGGCAGGGCTAACGCTGTCCCGTCATCCCTGTGTACTCCGCAGGGGCGGAGCTGACGCTGTTCCGTCATCACTTGTTTTCTTTGCTGAAAACGGCTTTTTGTGGCCTGGGTCTTCTAAAGTCCCGTTTTATAGGCCACTGTGAGACGTAAAACAAAAACATCTGTGTCAAGCCTGCTTTGGCCACCCGGAGGTGCTAGAAGAGGGTGACAGGAGACTGCGGACCCCGTGGGGGGCTTGCCGCAGGCTGTCGGTGTGGTCCTGTGCCCAGTGGGAGGAAGGATGGGAGGTGAGAGCAGGAACAGTGAGGGGCGTGCAAGACAGAGCCCTAGGAGAGAAAGGCCTGGTGCTTTCTGAATGGAAACTTCAGGCCTTCCAGGGGTCTGCCTCCCAGCTGTGGCCAGAGAGGTGTCTGCCGCGGGGCGCCCAGCCAGAAGTCTTTTCAGGTGCATGTAATGACCCAAGGCTTGGTGCCTGCCCGCTTCAGTGCTGCACCCATGGTCAGCAGCGCGTCGCAGGGCCCTTCTGTTTCTCCCGAGGCGGTTCCCTTCCATTCCCTCGGCAGCACTGATCACCAGGTAGGAATGGGTGGTGGGTGTCTGTGGAATTCACAGCGTCCCTGTTGGAAGTAAACTTATGCACAATGTTAAGAGTGTGTCCTATAATTCTTAATAGCCAACTCCCAATCTAGGGGTACTGAGGTGGCTCGAGGCAGATTAGCTGCAGAGGGCCTCCCGAAGACGGTTTCACAGGGGCTGGTTTTAATCCCACTCACGGGAGCAGTGCCATGCTGAGTACCTGAGTCCAGTTCAATGGAGTCTCTTGACATAATTTGGCAATGAACGTTTTCAGGGTGTGG